AATTGAGTGTCCTTGTTGACAAGCATGTTCTGCCACTGCTGACAGTTGTGTTTGAGATAATTTAATATTTCTCTGATGTTCTTTTAGTCTTAGCATTTGATTGGCGGATTTTCGGAAAGAGGTGGTGTACGTGCCGGTGGACTTGCCATTTGGCGCGGGGGGGGGGGGAAGGGGGGGAGGGGGAGTTTACCTATTGATGGTGTGAGAAGGGAATTTCTAAGAGCTGCGAAAGTTTGGGGTACCGCTACTTGAAAAATATACTGTACCATTGAAATTAGTTTAATGTTTAGTTCGATTTAGAACATCTTTCCAATGGTTGCTTAATTTGAAACCATCCTCTCGGTTGAAATTGTGTCTGTGTTTGTAGATCTGAATTGCTTCATGAACAAATCTCTGATAAAAGCCGGTGGGTTTGCAAAGAACCTTGGTATCGGAGAAAATTATATCGTGATCCCCCACAGCGTTGTAACAGTGATCAGTCACGGCAGAAGAATTCGTTTTGCCGTGTTTCAAATCTGATTTGTTCTCGCGAATTCGGTCAGAGACATGTCGCTTTGTCTCACCGATATAGCAATCACCGCAGGTACAACTCAATTTGTAAACCCCGGGGTACTGTAAATCAGGAATGACATCCTTCATGGATGGGATCAGATCACGAATTTTGTGTACTGTATTGAACCGGACCTGGATCTTGTGTTTGTTTAGAATTTTGGAAATCTTTTTAGTAACGCCTGCTATATATGGAAGTGTGATGGTTTTGACCGGAGTATCAAGTGGTTGTTTCTGTATGGAGGGAGAGACAGCTTGGCAGATGGTACGGTCAGAGTAACCATTCCTTTTGAGGGCCAGGTGTACATGTTTTAATTCACTGGTCAGGTGGTGTTGGTCCGAAATGCAATGAGCCCTATGATATAAAGTTTTGATGAGAGAATTCTTTTGGGCTGGGTGGTGGTGGGAATCAGGTTTCAAGTAGGAATCTGTGTGGGTCGGTTTCCTGTAGACAGAATGCCCCAATGAGAATAGTGGCTATTTCAGCTCTCGTAACGTCTGCTTGGATGTGTCCTACGCCTTTGAGGGCAACATCGACCTGAGAGATGATATCATATATTGGTATGTGTTTTGGGGTGACAGCAAAATTTAGTCCCCTAGCCAGTACTGTTTTCAGATTGTTTTCAATTGGTCTCTATGGTCAAAGACGTTGTACTGTCCCCTGACGATATCCTTGTCAGCTTCGATGTGGTCTCTTTGTTCACCAAGGTCCCAGTACCTGATACCATTGAAATAATTGAAAATTTGGTCCAACATGCACTAGACCCCGACACACCTGCACTGGTTAGCCACTGCCTCAACAATACCTACTTTACTTGGAATGGCTCCTTCTACAAACAAAATGAGGGTACCCCCATGGGATCCCCCTTATCACCAGTGATAGCCAATATTTTCATGGAGAAATTTGAATCGGATGCCATCCAGACTTCCACCCTCAGACCTTCCCTGTGGAAGAGATATGTGGATGCATTCTGTCTACAGGAAACCCACCCACACAGATTCCTACTTGAAACCTGATTCCCACCACCACCCAGCCCAAAAGAAGTCTCTCATCAAAACTTTATATCATAGGGCTCATTGCATTTCGGACCAACACCACCTGACCAGTGAATTAAAACATGTACACCTGGCCCTCAAAAGAAATGGTTACTCTGACCGTACCATCCGCCAAGCTGTCTCTCCCTCCATACAGAAACAACCACTTGATACTCCGGTCAAAACCATCACACTTCCATATATAGCAGGCGTTACTAAAAAGATTTCCAAAATTCTAAACAAACACAAGATCCAGGTCCGGTTCAATACAGTACACAAAATTCGTGATCTGATCCCATCCGTGAAGGATGTCATTCCTGATTTACAGTACTCCGGGGTTTACAAATTGAGTTGTACCTGCAGTGATTGCTATATCGGTGAGACAAAGCGACATGTCTCTGACCGAATTCGCGAGTACAAATCAGATTTGAAACACGGCAAAACAAATTCTTCTGCCGTGACTGATCACTGTTACAACGCTGTGGGGGATCACGATATAATTTTCTCCGATACCAAGGTTCTTTGCAAACCCACGGGCTTTTATCAGAGATTTGTTCATGAAGCAATTCAGATCTACAAACACAGACACAATTTCAACCGAGAGGATGGTTTCAAATTAAGCAACCATTGGAAAGATGTTCTAAATCGAACTAAACATTAAACTAATTTCAATGGTACAGTATATTTTTCAAGTAGTGGTACCCCAAACTTTCGCAGCTCTTATAAATTCCCTTCTCACACCATCAATAGGTAAACTCCCCCTCCCCCCCGCCCCGCGCCAAATGGCAAGTCCACCGGCATGTACACCACCTCTTTCCAAAAATCTGCCAATCAAATGCTAATTTTTATGCTAATTTCTTTGTCAGAACACCTTGTTTGCTCGCACACAGTTTAAAGGTCCGCTGTCTGAGCGTGGTTGTGTTTCGCTAAATTCTCCTGTTTGATGAGTACTAGGTGCCTCGGTGAATGTATATGCTCTAACTTTAACATAGCTATTTCTGTGACCAGTTACTAGCTAATCACTCAGCTATTTCAATGCTAAATTCTATGCTAATTCCTTTGTCAAGGGGTACCTCTGCGGATGTGTATACTTTAACTTAGCTATTTCAATGAGCCATTTCAATGCTAAATTATATGCTAATTCCTTTGTCAAGGCGCTTGGTGTTTTTCTTCTCACACAGCTTAAAGGTCGTGATCTGAGCGTGGCTTCTTCCACTCCAGCGCTGTCCTCCTAACAGTCTCGTCCCTTCACCTGATGAAGGCCGCTTGTGTTGTGGCCGAAACGTCGTGATTTTTTGTTAATTTTTTTGTTATTTTATTTTCGCCTACGTGACTTTACCCAATAGAACCAAAGAGAATGCTAAAAAACTTGGAGAAATGAAGCACGAAGGATTTTAAAGGCTTCACATTGCTGGCCATGCGCTGTGTTGACTTGGTTTGTAATTTACATTGCAAGTGGTATCGATGGAATGGTCATGTGATGACATTGTAATGACAAGAACAATGCATCTTGGTGAGATGCGACGGGATCCTGAACATAGCAACTGGCGAACACAATCCAGACACGGACAAGCAGTGCAGTTAACACTTACAAGCGTTGTTTACAAACCGGCTCGGTTTGTTTGGTAACATTGGTTATTAAACAAAAGTGCACTGACGAAACATGAAATTCCGATGGGAGAATTTCATATAGAGAAAAAAAATGGCAGCAATATTCCACCGAAATTTATTTGCGAGATTATTTTGCTGAGCAGCGCAACTTTCGCTCGAACCTATTGTGCCGAGAGGCCTCATCGATTCCCATGTCGCTTTGAGTCACTGAAATGCTTTTAACGGCAAGTTTTTTTTAGCATTTTTTTCTTTCCTGTATTGCTCTAAAGCAATGGGGCAATGGCTGTATTGGCTCTGGAGATAATGGCGGGACTAGGATAATGGGTTGAAGCCCTCTGAGTGCTGGGGGAATACGGCAAGCGAAGTATGGTAAGTTGGTGAAGAGAAAAGTTTCCGTCTCCAACCGGATAGGTTCATGCTCAGGTTATTTTATATATAAACGGTTCCCCCAAACCACACCCCTCACCCTCATCACCCACTGGTGGTCCAACACCAGTGGAGACTAGGCTCTAAGAAAAGCCGTCTCAGGTGTGGACCAATCAAATTCAAGGACAGTGCATATTATTATCGGAGTTGTCTCTTTTGTTTGCATTTTGACTGCTTGTGTTGTGGTTATTGCAAACATGATGCCAAGAATAAAGGTGTCAGTTTTTGTGCCAGTTAAAAGGGTAAAACCTATTACTATATCTTGCTACTGGCAAAGGAGGTCTCATAATGTAAATGCTCACCCCGAGCCCTCAATACTCTGATAGTGCGCTGTTTTTGAGTTGTACGCCTTTTGGCGTCTTCTGGTCCAACACTAGTGGAGACTAGGCTCTAAGAAAAGCCGTCTCGGGTGTGGACCAATCACATTCAAGGACAGTGCATATTATTATCAAAGTTGTCTCTTTTGTTTGCATTTTGACTGCTTGTGTTGTGGTTATTGCAAACATGATGCCTTGAATAAAGGTGTCAGTTTTTGTGCCAGTTAAAAGGGTAAAACCTATTACTAAAATCAGACATTTTGAACATTTCACGGCTATGCTCTAAAAATAAAATTTTACAATTCAGCTTTCAACTTTGTTGTTTTTAGTGAAAACAGAAGGAAGCACTCTGCAAGGGCATGCTCCAGCAAACCGCTGAACCCAGTAACTAAGTTTTACTCCAGGCACTGGGAGAATAATAATGGTCTGGAATATAGCCGGGGATTAATGTCTCATTCGATATTTTCTGGAGAGCTACTAGGCTGGGTTTGGAGTAGGCATATTTAGCAATAGGTACTACGAGAGTACAATTTACACTTCTAGATTATAATTATAATTGTTGTGCCTTGTACACACCACCGCAGTATCATGAGGACAAAATAAGGTGACATTAATATGGCGTGCCAAAATAACTTCATGGGAACAGCATTCCGGACTTCTCGGGCTGAAATGAAGCACATGTGTATAGCTCTGTGATGTGTCTTTGGGTAGTACGGTGCATCGTTCGGCATGTCCACACTGTTCCACCTACTCAGAGCTACTTCAGGAGAAATTCATTTCCTGTTATCAGTTCAAGAAGAAGCTCGCCGCAACATGGATTTAAACACCAAACATCATGCTGAACAACACGCGGTACGACCCGAAACCAAAAGACTCGATAGTCCACTGCTGTTTTGTCTGTGAATGTGCGCAGCCGAGGCCTGACTGCCACGTGTGAGTCAATGCCGGTCACTGTAGGTTCTAGTGGGAATTGATCTGCTGTAGAGAAGTGTCACTTGCTAACGTAACTCACGCATTAAATGCGTGCAGGACAGGTCGGGGATGCACATCAGGGTCCCTTACCATTGCATCAGTGTACTCCTCCAACTTGTGGTCGGGAATCTTCTTGGTGTGTCTTGCCAGGAGGTCGCTGAGAAAATTCTAACCACATAAGTGAAAGGGAACATACCCGTTAACAACACACAAAAACAAACCTCCCCGGTGTAGCCTACACAGGCTGTTGGGTTAAATGCACCTATAAAGGCCTTCAGGCCCACAAGAGAGTGATGTGGTCAGCACCACGCAATGCCATGTTTGTTTCCCCAGTGCTAATGATTGCACACTGCACCAGGTACTCATTTGAGGCTGAGCCGGCCTAGCGGAGGCCCAGGACGGGTTCAAATATTTCCCACCGTTATTGGTCGTGAGCGCAAACCGAACTCAGGTTTGAGTCACGCAGTGTGCTAACCGCTACACTACCGCTCTCCACACACACATACAAGAACATTTACAGACAGTAACTTCAAAGTTTAACCAAAAAGGCAAAGGTATCAGAGGGGCCCCTGCCGTTTGGGATTAAGGAGAACGCTGAGGCACCTGGGGGTACAGCTCATCGATAAAAGTGTCGACCTTGGTCTTGTTCATGAGATCTGGTCTCGAGGCACGTATGCTCCGTCGTCAACCAGCGAGGGAGCGAGCGACAGATGGGAACATCTCAGGGGTTACCCTGGGTTTCAGCCGACTAACATGCTTTCTCTGTTCAAACGCTGATGATCGCCTGGCGTGGTGAATGCAAAGGAATTTCACCTTGAGCTCGACGGCAGAGATGAAGCCACTCCGATTGGAATCGTATTTCCGCCAAATCTAAGAGACCATGCAAAGGATAATAATGATGAAAAGCACAGCAGGAAAGCCAATAATGTACTCCATTTCAAACACACGTGGCCACAGAAAGTCAAAGGGGTGCACAATCATGATTTCCATTCTGAAAAAGTATTATTTTTACTGCCAGGTTCCTTAAGCATATGAACACATTGAGAAGGATTGAGTTAAACAAATCTGGAATTAGACACGTACAGTAGCATGGCCTAAATGCGGGGCTGAATCTGTCATGTTTTTGGATTGCTAGTAGACTGAGATGTGGTATGTGACTAGTAGCTATAACCAGAATGGGATGCATCATGGACGTAGTGTGCCGAGCGCAAAAATATATTCCGGGTCACTGACATGGATAGACCTCTTTATAGAAGTGTAAACTGTGCAGAAAGAGCACAATCTGAAGCATGTATATGTAAGATAGGGGAAATCTTCGTTTATCAAGATTTATCTTATCTTACATTTACATGCAAATTTCATCTCTAGCCCCACCCACTGACCCTTGGGCTACACCCATCTCAAACCTTTATAACTCCCTGCCCCTTAACAGCGCTCCCGCCATATATGTTTCCCTGCTTCAGCAGCTCTCACCTGATTATGATTGCTTGTGTTGCGATCGAAAACGTCGTTATATTGTGGTTATTTTTTTATTCTTTTTCTATCTACGTGGCTTTACCGAAAGACCCAAAGAATATGAATTCCTGCAGTCACGAAAGCTTTAAGTCAAGATATAAGCTATGATGCACAGGGGTAATGTCTCTGACAAAATTCTACCAATTGTGTAATTAGAATGGCACATTGTCACATGTCTCATGATCCGTATACTAAATTGTGCAGCTGTGCCCAGACAAAAGTGGCATGCCAATGTGCAAGACACCCAGCTCTGCCAGGGCATCGCTGTTAACACATGAGACAGATTAAATTTCACACACCCGACTGCCTTGTTTTCCCAAAAGGTCAAGCTATGGGAAAGGAAAGATCAATCTAATTTTCCCCTCCATTTCTGTATTGTTTCCAGCGCCTTTCAGTGATGCACAAATGCTCTCAGCAGAGGCTTATTCCTGTGGTGCTCAAATCAATTCCCACCCCAAGTACAGCAGCCTCGAGTGGATCTGAACCCTCCGAGTTAAACCCCGCAACGGCTTTAACCTTTTCGCTCCCGATCCCCAGATTTGAGGATTGACATTTAATGATGACGAGGTTTCCACATACATTATTATATGCTCACAGGTGCACAATCATATGACTGTGTCACGACAAAATGCAAATTATCTCTGTGATGTATTGCACTGAAATCTGTTACAAAATTACACGAGTGCATTTCATTGCAGAAAGAGTTCAAGTTGTTTTTATTTCTTTAAACCGCAAGCCTCCGCTGAGTGCTTTAGCTTGCAGGATTTCTGGCGTTTGGGTGCAGCCAATTTTTGAACTGCATTGTATGGATTACTGAAAGTTATTCAGTGGGCTGTATTAATGCACCCAACGTCAGCCTTCTCATTCCGTCGCGGTTAAAAGGGTTAAAGATCAAATCTGACTTTCGAAATTTTTAATGAGACTGTGGCGTGATGCACATTTGTGCGTGTTTGCCTACCTGGCTTTGGCAGTGAGCACGCGAGAGAGCATGGATTATTCCCCGGCCTATTGCCCGCCAATGATGTTTTTTTGAGGTGCTCTTACTTTCACATTATGTTCAAAGATGTATTCTTAAACAGAAGAATGGATGGGGCTGGAGCATGCAATTCCTTTAATATTCCTACTGGGATGTGCTGAGAGGTACCGTTTTGTATCAATGAGCTACGACTCTCCACAGCATGGCAAGCGAGGGCACATGAAAGCAGTTTCAACGATTACTACCCAAAGTTCACTTACATTGCAACTGCTACTGGCACCTGTTAGAACCGTAAGGGTGCAGGGTGTAGTGGGATGGTGCAAGTCTGTCTCAGTCAACGATCCCGGAAATGTATTTCTGTACCCGGAACACGACATCCAGCATTCCTCCCACTATGACTATGGCTACTTACCTACTCCAGTGACCAGGAATATATTTGGTGAGAAATTAAGCCCTGCGTATTGAAATAAAAAAAACATCAGAACCATTCGTGAATCATGTAATATCTTTTGATGACAATTTCCACGTTCCCGTGAAGTTTGGCCACGCGTCATAGACTTTTATTGGAGTCTCTGTTGTATTTTTGGAAATTTTACTTACCCTGCCAGAACCCCCTGGGGTCCATCCAAGTTACATGTGGTACTCAATATTTCTTGGCTTGAAAGAATCAATTTTTTCTTTTAATATTTTTAGCGAGCAGCTGTATGTTTCGTTATCGCTCATACCAGTGCATTGGGGAAACTCGCATCTGTATGACGCTGTCAGTTGATGCTTTGCTTTCAGTGGGAATGGTAACCGAAGATATTACATTGGCACGATTGGATTAAGGATTGTTACCCTTAGTTTTGTTATGTGTTGTCATGTCCATTATCATATGGATGATGCTTATTTTTCATTAAAAATGTGAACATCACCCAGGGTGCAAATGTCACAAAGGCATTTTTGAAGATTTTCGCATTTTGAAGCTCCTGGAAATTGAAAATTCTTCACTGCCCTTTGGTAAGATTCACTGTTTCTGTGTACATTTCTTTTGTTATCATGCCTCAAACATATTTGTTTAATAAATATTTTAATGAAAATTTACTTGAAAACAAATATCTGGTGTTTAATAGGAAGTGTAGATTATGGTTGAATTTTAAAGTGCTTTTCAAGGTCTTGTGCCTGAAAGAAGCTGTGTAAATGCAACCATCTTATGTAACCACATAATGCCACAGCATATATATTTGTTCATTATTTAACACCTACCATTAAGAATATATACGTATTAGTAACCAGTAGTGGGCTTTACCTACTGTCTACCAAATATATTGTCACACTTCAAGGGAGGTAAATGTTCACTGATGATGGTGATCGTGTATTTTAAGTGTTTAGCTTGAAACTTAAAGCGACTTAGAACTTTAGACTGACCCTGCCCTATGAGTGAAGTCAAGGCAATCATTTTTGGGGGCACAAATTTAATGTTGTTTGTATTACTAGTTATAGACGTAACCTCAACTACGTTTGTATTACTAGTTATAGGTGTAGCCTCAACCACGTTTGTATTACTAGTTTTAGGCATTGCCTCAACTACGTTTGTATTACTAGTTATAGGTGTAGCCTCAACCACGTTCGTATTACGCGTTATAGGCATTGCCTCAACTATGCTTGTATTACTAGTTATAGACGTAGCCTCAACCACGTTTGTATTACTAGTTATAGGCAATGCCTCAACTACGTTTGTATTACTAGTTATAGGTGTAGCCTCAACCACGTTCATATTGCTAGTTATAGGCATTGCCTCAACTACGTTTGTATTACTAGTTATAGACGTAGCCTCAACCACGTTTGTATTACTAGTTATAGGTGTAGCCTCAACCACGTTTGTATTACTAGTTATAGACGTAGCCTCAACTACGGTTGTATTACTAGTTATAGGCATTGCCTCAACTACGTTTGTATTACTAGTTATAGGTGTAGCCTCAACCACGTTTGTATTACTAGTTATAGGCATTGCCTCAACTACGCTTGTATTACTAGTTATAGGTATAGCCTCAACCACGTTCGTATTACTAGTTATAGGCATTGCCTCAACTACGTTTGTATTACTAGTTATAGACGTAGCCTCAACCACGTTCGAATTACTAGTTATAGGTGTAGCCTCAACCACGTTTGTATTGCTAGTTATAGACGTAGCCTCAACTACGGTTGTAATACTAGTTATAGGCATTGCCTCAACTACGTTTGTATTACTAGTTATAGGTGTAGCCTCAACCACGTTTGTATTACTAGTTATAGGCAATGCCTCAACTACGTTTGTATTACTAGTTATAGGTGTAGCCTCAACTACGTTTGTATTACTAGTTATAGGTATTGCCTCGGGATACGTTTGTATTACTAGTTATAGGCATTGCATCAACTATGTTTGAATTACTAGTGATAGGTGTAGCCTCAACTACGTTTGTATTACTCGTTATAGGCATTGCCTCAACTACGCTTGTATTACTAGTTATAGGCGTAGCCTCAACTAGGTTTGTATTACTAGTTATAGGCATTGCCTTAACTACGCTTGTATTACTAGTTATAGACGAAGCCTTAACTACGCTTGTATTACTAGCTATAGGTGTAGCCTCAACTACGTTTGTATTACTAGTTATAGACGTAGCCTCAACCACGTTTGTATTACTAGTTATAGGCATTTCTCCAACTACGTTTGTATTACCAATTATAGGCATTGCCTCAACTACGTTTGTATTACTAGTTATAGGTGTAGCCTCAACTACGTTTGTATTACTAGTTATAGGCATTGCCTCAACTACGTTTGTATTACGGGTTATAGGTGTAGCCTCAACCACATTTGTATTATGTGTTATAGGCATTGCCTCAACTACGCTTGTATTACTAGTTATAGACGTAGCCTCAACCACGTTTGTATTACTAGTTATAGGCATTGCCTCAACTACGTTTGCATTACAAGTTATAGGTGTAGCCTCAACTACGTGTGTATTACTAGTTATAGGCATTGCCTCAACTACGTTTGTATTACTAGTTATAGGTGTAGCCTCAACCACGTTTGTATTACTAGTTATAGGCATTGCCTCAACTATGTTTGTATTACTAGTTATAGACGTAGCCTCAACTACGGTTGAATTACCAGTTATAGGCATTGCCTCAACTACGTTTGTATTACTAGTTATAGGTGTAGCCTCAACCAAGTTTGTATTACTAGTTATAGGCATTGCCTCAACTACGCTTATATTACTAGTTATAGGCATTGTCTCAACTATGTTTGTATAACTAATTATAGGTGTAGCCTCAACTACGTTTGTATTACTAGTTATAGACGTAGCCCCAGCCACGTTTGTATTACTAGTTATAGGCATTGCCTCAACTACGTTTGCATTACTAGTTATAGACGTAGCCTCAACCACGTTTGTATTACTAGTTATAGGAATTGCCTCAACTACGCTTGTATTACCAGTTATAGACGTAGCCTCAACCACGTTTGTATTACGAGTTAGAGACGTAGCCTCAACTACGTTTGTATTACTAGTTATAGGTGTAGCCTCACCCACTTTTGTATTACTAGTTATAGGCATTGCCTCGACTATGCTTGTATTACGAGTTATAGGTGTAGCCTCAACTACGTTTGCATTACTAGTTATAGGCATGGCCTTACTATGCTCGTATTACTAATTATAGGTGTAGCATCACCTACGTTTGTATTACTAGTTTTAGGTGTAGCCTCAACCACGTTTGTATTACTAGTTATAGACATAGCCTCAACTACGTTTCTATCACTAGTTATAGGTGTAGCTTTAACTACGTTTGTATTACTAGTTATAGATATTGCCTCAACTACGTTTGTATTACCAGTTATAGGCATTGCCTCAACTACGCTTGTATTACTAGTTATAGGCGTAGCCTCAACTAGATATGTATTACTAGTTATAGGCATTGCCTTAACTACGCTTGTATTACTAGTTATAGACGTAGCCTCAACTACGCTTGTATTACTAGTTATAGGTGTAGCCTCAACTACGGTTGTATTACTAGTTATAGGCATTGCCTCAACTACGTTTGTATTACTAGTTATAGGCATTGCCTCAACTACGTTTGTATTACTAGTTATAGACGTAGCCTCAACCACGTTTGTATTACTAGTTATAGGTGTAGCCTCAACTACATTTGTATTACGAGTTAGAGACGTAGCCTCAACTACGTTTGTATTACTAGTTTTAGGTGTAGCCTCAACCACGTTTGTATTACTAGTTATAGGCATTGCCTCAACTACGGTTGTATTACTAGTTATAGGTGTAGCATCAACTACGTTTGCATTACTAGTTATAGGCATGGCCTCAACTACACTTGTATTACTAATTATAGGTGTAGCCTCAACTACGTTTGTATTACTTGTTATAGGTGTAGCCTCAACCACATTTGTATTACTAGTTATAGACGTAGCCTCAACTACGGTTGTATTACTAGTTATAGGCCATGCCTCAACTACTTTTGTATTACTAGTTATAGGTGTAGCCTAAACCACGTTTGTATTACTAGTTATACGCATTGCCTCAACTGCGCTTGTATTACTAGTTATAGGCATTGCCTCAACTACGTTTGTATTACTAGTTATAGGTGTAGCCTCAACTACGTTTGTATTACTAGTTATAGGAATTGCCTCAACTACGTTTGTATTACTAGTTTTAGGTGTAGCCTCAACCACGTTTGTATTACTAGTTATAGGCATTGCCTCAACTACGCTTGTATTACTAGTTATAGGTGTAGCCTCAACCACGTTTTTATTACTAGTTATAGGCATTGCCTCAACTACGCTTGTATTACTAGTTATAGGTATAGCCTCAACTACGTTTGTATTACTAGTTATAGGCATTGCCTCAACTACGTTTGTATTACTAGTTATAGGTGTAGCCTCAACCACGTTTGTATTACTAGTTATAGGCATTGCCTCAACTACGCTTGTATTACTAGTTATAGGTGTAGCCTCAACCACGTTTGTATTACTAGTTATAGACGTAGCCTCAACTACGCTTGTATTACTAGTTATAGGCATTGCCTCAACTACTTTGTATTACTAGTTATAGGTGTAGCCTCAACCACGTTTGTATTACTAGTTACAGGCATTGCCTCAACTACGCTTGTATTACTAGTTATAGGTGTAGCCTCAAATACGTTTGTATTACTAGTTATAGACCTAGTCTGAACTACGTTTGTATTACTAGTTATAGGCATTGCCTCAACTACGTTTGCATTACTAGTTATAGGTGTAGCCTCAACTACGTTTGTATTACTAGTTATAGGCGTAGCCTCAACCATGTTTGTATTACTAGTTATAGGTGTAGCCTCAAGTACGTTTGTATTACTAGTTATAGGTGTTGCCTCAAGTACGTTTGTATTACTAGTTATAGGCATTGCCTCAACCACGTTTGTATTACTAGTTATAGGTGTAGCCTCAACTATGTTTGTATTACTAGTTATAGGCGTAGCCTCAATTCCGTTTGTATTACTCGTTATAGGTGTAGCCTCAAATACGCTTGTGTTACTAGTTATAGGCGTAGCCTCCATTCCGTTTGTATTACTAGTTATAGGCGACATTTCAACTTTCTACTTCTTCCAGAAAATTATTAGAAAGTACATCTTGCCACTCAGTCAGTGGATCGCAATTGTCTATTTAGTAGTAACGTGGCATTTCAGAGAGCCTTCCAATATGCCTGTGGATAATAAACTCTCAGGGCAGGGAATTTGATTGACTTTGGTATGACGTATCCAATCCTAACATATGTGCCATTATTTGATTAGTGCTATAAAATATTACAAAAAGGCACCTTTCTTCGTTATTTGAGCTTTTCAGAGGAAATCTATTTTGCATATGATTAATTCTGTCATTTTCATGAAATGCATAAGCAAACCTTTCCTAGAACGTGATAATTATATGTTAATCTAAAGGAAAACATAATCAAGTGATTTTTGTAACTGGCATTACCAACTAATCCTCTGATTGGTTTCCATCGGATTTAAGAGGTTATGATTGGTGGGATATATGTGGAGGATGAAGGAAGGGTGGCTTTCCGATGTTATTTTTTGGGTTGCACCATGTCTGGTGGTGGTGTTGGAGCACGCACACACCAAACCGGGCGACTTACAATACTTACCGGTGCGGGTGAATGTGTCATCTCGGACCAGGCTTCCTGAGGGGAGGGGGCTGTGGGGTCGGTAAGATCCCACAGGACCCCGCTCCTCTGGGAAGCGGTACAAACCTGTTGTGGGCGGTTGTGTGTGATGTGGGTCCTGGGCCTCCTGAGGGGAGGGGACTGGGGGGTCGGTAGGATCCCACAGAAACCCGCCCCTCGGAGAGAAATTGTATAAAAGGTGGGACCCAGAGAGCAGAGGGGGCAGTTCGACCAAGCCAAGATGAAGAGCCAGTGAAGAGAGAAGACGGACTAGCCCGATCCTGGAACTCCTCTGACTCGCTGCCCTTTTCAGGGCCGGGCAGAGCAAGCAAGGGTGCGACACCAGAGCCGCGAGGGCCGATGTCCTTCTAAGGGCCGGACTCGTGTGGCTGGTGGTCAAGACCTGCGCCGAAGCTGGGCCAGGTCAGATAGCCTCCGGCAGGGAGGACTAGAAAAGAGGGAAGTAGGGAGTTAACGGGCGCATAACTCGGTGAACACTTCCCTCTATATAGCACTGGTGAAGAGGCCGTTACCTCTTCAATTGTCAGGGTCGCTACTGTTGATGTATTTGTAATAAATACGTGTTGCCTCAAGTCAAAAGTCTCTGTCATCAATAAGGCCACTACACATTCATGGCTTGAAAACAAAACGCGAACACACATCAGAAAATAGCCGGAAGGGAGGAGTTTAGCAGGGCAGGCATGAGAATGAACGACCAGAGATTGGTGACCTCAGAAAATATATTAAGCCAGAGATTGTTGATGACAATGTATAAGTAGGACCTTGAAGTCGGTTGTTGACTGTGTCTGGGATCTGGCAGGAGGAACAAAGCGATGGTGAAAAGTGGTGGCGTCAATCACATATGCCGTGATGACCTCTTGACCTCATTAACGATAACACGTATGGACATGGGACCTGGCTTGTGGCCTCACCTTCATGAACTCCACACTATTGTCCAACTTGAGCTGCCGACGGAACAGCAGTAAGAAGTTTTCATCCTCGGGCAGGATCATGTTAGCCAACTGCAGAGCAGAAGTGATTTGTAAATGAGAGAGATTAGGGTGGGGGCAGGGTGGAGCGATGTTGCCTTGTTACATTATTTAAAAAAAATACTTGTTTTTTAAATCAAAGAACAACTTGTTACGGCATCATGATTGGGTATTGGACAGGGAATTACAGGGTTAAAGGTCGTGAGCAAAAACCCTTGTTGCATGTCTATGTGTGGGGGTATGGGGGGAAGGAGATGGGGGGAAATAAGCTGGGTGCTCAGGGCAGAACCAATCTTTTCCGTCAAAATAAAAGTGACGACCCCTGCATGCCCTCATCCATTCTCAACCACCACTCCCCACCACCCTGCAACCCAGCGAGACCAGCAGCCTCTGTTATGGATCAACCTAAGAATCATACCTGTGAATCGAAAACCTTACAGGGGTGTATAAATAGTGATGATGACAAAGGTGAATTGGTCACGCACAAGGGAATGCATTTTCCAGGTTCCAGGGGATTTTTCCACGGGTGCAAAGAATGAGTATTTACATGCTTCAATGCAGCAAATAACATTCTCGCCCCTACTCTGAAGCCGTAACGCGCATTCAAAATCAAAGTATAAATGAAAAACAAATTTATGAGATCACTGAGTGGTTCATAGGTCATAGCACTGAGTCAGCACTGCTACGACCTGGGTTCAAATCCGAGCAAGTGCCGTGATTAAACTGGGTTTTTAAATGCATTGAGTTGATGGTCTCAGCCTCGTCACTAATGACTGCCAGAAAAAAATTATGATATTAAAATTAGATTTTAGTTAATTTGGTCAAATCCAGATTTGGGAATTTAGGATAACATTTAGACTCTGTTATGATAAACAATGCCATAGCAGAGTGTATGGAAAAAACGTGCACCCAACTGTGCAAAAGATAAAAGGCCACTTCAAGGATTTTTCAGAAATCCTGTGAAAAAAATATCTTGTGCAGCCCTACTCTGAGAAGCTCTGAAATTTATTTTTCATCTCATGCCTGATGTCGATAGCACCATTTAAATAAATTGAGGGGGGTAAGATATTTCAAAATATATGAAAGAAAGAAAAAATAAATGTTATATCTTTTCATAGTTATGCTTCTGTTTTTATTTGATGATTTCACCTGCAGTTCAATGCTCTTTGCTGTGTGCATACACATTGCAAGTTTTATGGGCTCTGGTAGCTCTTTATTTTTATATAAGCGACGCGCTCACCTCCTCGATCTCCAGCTTCCCGTCAGCTGTGGCATCGTATATTGACATGAAGCGATTCCGCAGGCTCCGGACCTGGGCATCGGTTGGGTTGCTCTGGGAAGGCAAAGAGTGGCACGGAGCACAGCAGGAATAATCATAATTACATACAGCAGTGTCCACATAATGCGTGGCAGAAATACCCAACTACTGCACACCACATGCAGTCTTAGATTAAGTCCATTAGCCCAAATGAGATATTTTACTTGTCGGTACCACCTGAGGCAACATAACTTGAGTGGTTCCAATTTCTTTGTGTGGCCAAAAGCAGTGAATTATGTGATAGCTATTTGCAATGACTCGGGTGACAATTAATTCACTCGTATTAACAATGAGGTGGTACTAATTTCTGCTCCGTACCAAGCTGCTGTCATTGCGCCTTAATTGACACTGATTTAATGTAAATAGCAGCTAAGGGAATGTTGTACCTCAGTTGTTTTATGCAACTTATCCCTGGTCTGTAAGCGTATGTATGGCAGAGGTGGCCAAGTCGTTCAAGGGTCAGAGCACGGTGTTGACATCTCTGAGATCCTGAGTTCAAAGCTGGGTTTCAGCCACCCTGATGAAACTGTGTTGGAATAATGAGTTGATGGTCTCTGCCCAGTCATAAATGAATGCACACAAAAACATTTTTCCATCATATAAAATTTGGTTTTCCACTGAATTTGTCTAAATTCCAGCTCTTCGACTTAAAATTCAGTACTAACGAAGGTGGCTGGTGGATTCAAACTGTGAACCTCTGCAACAAGCAGTACACATGGTAACACTGGGCCCCATCACCGCCCTTCTCACAGCAAAACGCTGATAACAGTAAAATTGGAAAATTATTTTGGGAAAATGGCATACCTGGTATTTGAGTGATAGGGGCGGTGTTACCAAAGGTCATTGTGGTTGTTGTTAGGAGCCTCTAAAGCTCACTATGGCAAAGCCCGCAGTATGCGCCCCAAGTGCTGCTGGGTTAATCAATATCTGACGACAACCTCTTAGAGGCAGGGTTCCTAAGGTTAGGTTTTTTCCTCGTCTGTATTGATCGATTGTGATGAAGCACCTGTGTGCTTTTGGCTGAAGTCACCTATTCATGCCGCATGGTAGACAGGTGGTCACAGTTTGTTCGCAATTGAAGAAAAGTTCCACTCAATCGAGGCTGATCTCACATGAGAGAGCGTGCACTCTGCCTGCTTTGGGAAAATATGCCCCGTGGAATTTGAAAATGAGGACCAGGTGAAGCCACCTGGTCCAGTACAGTTGTAAATCTGAAGTAATACGAGATCCTCAGAAAACTCTGCACATAGCCCTGGACCAGTGTTCTTCACTGCAAGGCCCGCGGACCACTGGCAGCCCCTGGTGGCCTTTAGTGCGTTCCACGACAATACACAAATGTGAAAACACCCCATCATGCTGTCAAATCCAATGGTTTAAAATGTGTGGCGGCCCTCAAACGGATGATGTCTTATCGGCTAAAGTGGCCCCCTCTGAAAATTAGTGAAAAACACTGATGTAGATAATACATGCTGGTGAAGTAAAACGTTCTAACTTGACTTTAACTGTTCACTCAATGTGCATTGCACATGATACAGTTTGCCCTCGTGGGCTGAGGATTTTAGTGACTGTGCCTCTCGTGCTATGCCATTAACAACGTGCAATAGTTCCCTTTCAATCCACTGCTGGCTGGGTGAAGGCCGCCCTATGCTGTATCAGTCATGTAGCTTATTTGACCATGCTTGATCACGCTGGTCAGTGCTGGTTGGTAAAGGAGGCGAGGGTCCAGAATTGGCTCAAATATCACTTGCCACTAATGTCAGCCATCACTAGAAATGTAACTTTTGTTACCGGATATTGTATGTGTAATGAGATAGCCCACCGACATACGGAGGGCTGCATAGGCATTGCCACATCGGTCATTGCCAATCAGAGGTAAGGGTTCGATCTGGGCCAAAGTTCATGGGCGGAGCTCAGGGGTAGATGAGGGAACCATCGAGAAGGCTCTGAAGGGGGCATGGTTAGAGGCGGGGCTTCGCTCCGCCAAGGAGGATATAAGGAGAGGCAGGAGAAGGACTCGGGGTTCGGTGTGGAAGCCTGGGTCCGGACTGCATCTCCGCCATCTCGTCAGCCACTGACCACGTGGCAGCCGCGAGCGCAGCTCTCCCGATTCCCAGCGCGCCGTCGACCTTGAAAGACGTGTATGCCGAGATGGCCGAGATTTATGAGCTGCCTTCAGATACCCAGCAGAAGTTCACGCATCGTAAGCGTGGGAGTAATGAGTCACCCCTGGCCTACCGTGGCGCCTTGCTGGCGCTGGCGGTGGCTGCTTATCCCGACGTCAAGCCTGAAACGCTCGATCCTCTCATCTTGGGTAAGATGCTGGAGTTGGCAAAGGACATGAGAGTTTCGCTGCCTGTGTGCGGTCACGAGCCGCTGACGGCCCGGTGGGCCGCCAGACGCCTCAACGCACAAGACAACTTACAACATTGGGCCCAGATGGCTGCTTGGACAGGAGACCCCGCTCGTGATGGTGAGCCAAAGGGATGGTCGCCATCGAAGGTCGTCCACATCCCGGACGACACGGGGGACGGGGATCTGGCAGCCGTAGTTCCTCTTTGGGACCCGCAACGGGGGGCTGAGTCACGTCGCTGGGGGTCCTACGGTTCGCACGGGAGCGACGAAGGGGCTGCTCAGTGGCCTGCGGTTACGCGCTTCAGGTGCGGGTGCTTGGGCCACTTCGCCCGGGATTGCCGGAATCGTCCTCGTCCTCCGACACCTCCTGCGGCTCCAGCTCCAGCTCCTCTGTCGGCGGATCGCAACTCCAGGCAGGCAAGTCGGTACGCATCAGACACCCGGCCTAAATCGTCACCTCAGGCATCTCTTGACACGCGTATGACTTCACAGCATCGCGAATTCTATACTGTTGTTGGGGATTGGCCACTCTCGATAACACAGTGGAGGAAGCTAGCGTGTTGCATCATAGCCGCAGTGGCGGGATCTTCGACAGTGCCCGGTTCCATACAGGGGGTAGATGTCCGAGTTTTGGTGGACACTGGTGCATCCGCCACTATTATCTCCGATGTGATTTTACAGCTCCTATCTATCCCTGTTTCACGAGTCCGGGCGGCTTTTGACGTGTGCATGGTGGCAAACGGGGGAAGTATGGCCATCATCGGTCAGGTGGATACCCATATTGCCATTGGGTCTGTCGCTGCATCAGGGCCGGTCTTGATCTCCAGATCCTTGGCGGTGCCCTGTTTGTTGGGCACTGATTTTCTCAGGAGAATGCCTGTTAAAATCCTTGTCGATCAGGGATGTCTTGAGTTGCCCGCAGGATGTAAAAAAAAATTCTGCCATCCCCACTCTGTCGTTCGATGCTGTGCGCTGCCGTTCAGGCGCTGGCGGATGTCACAGTCGAAATCCCGCCGGGGTCCCAGATGCTCGTTCCCCTTGTGGTATCGGAAAGGGTTCTTCGGCGCTGATACAGCGGCGGGAATACTCTTGACCCCCTCCAACACCGCTACCAAAGGTCTCTCGTCGGCGCTCAAACGATCGTCCGTTCCGGGCAAGCCCCATTTTTACAAGTTCTAAACGGTGGTCCGGAAGAGGTTTTGGTCCCTGCTGGTACGGTACTGGCTCACGTCACTACCGCCTTTACGGACCACAACGAGGACGTATC